TAGTAATTTCACTTTCCTGTATAAATGTATATTTTATTTTCTACATAATTTAAGAGGCCAAAACATTTCAAATAACTATTGGTCTATGTTTCAGAGGCAGATAATGTATAATGCTAATTCTGTGCCATCAACCCAGTATATAATGATATAATTCTGTGCCATCAATGACAAAAGGAGTAAGACAGAAGTATTAAAGGAGTGGTGCTATTTTATTTGATATAGAAATCAAGCTGATGTAAATTCAAATTGTAATATTATAACTTTCAAATGCTAAATGTAATACCCATGGTAATCAGAAAGAATAGCTGCAGAGAAAAATACCAAAGGAAATAAGAAATGAATTGAAATGCTTTTCTACCAATAAATACACTAAACAGAATAATGGGCTGTGGGAAATGAGGAGCAAAAAGTTATGAGGGATATAGAAAGCAAATGTCAAAATGAGAGCAGGTCTCCTTTGTCCATAATTATTTTAAGTATAAATAAGTTAAATCTCTAATAAAAAATAAGAATGGATTTTAAAAAGAGAAAAGCATGATCAAACTATATGCTATCGACAAGAGATTCAATTTAAATCCAAAAAACTAGATTGAAAGTGAAAGGATGGAAAAGAATACTCTATGCAAACAGCAGTCATAAAGAATGAGAGCGCTATACAACATCAGCAGAACAGGCTTTAAATTTTAAAGGTTCCAAGAAGGACCTTGTATATAATAAAAGGTTCAATATGGCAAAGAGAATACAAATTATAAACATGTATATACCTAATAACACAAGAAGCAAAACTGACAGCATTGAAGTGAGAAATAAATAGTTCTACAATAATAGTTGCAGACGTCAATACCCTCTCTCAGTAATGGATAGACCAACTAAGCAGAGAGTAAGTAGGGAACTAGAGAAATACCACAATTCCGCTCTTCTTTATAACCCAAATAAAACTGGAGGCACATGTTCCTACCAAAGTTTGTGCACAAATAACCATATCTTATTGACAGCAGCTAACAAGGCAGAAGCAACTCAGGTACCCATCAGCAGAAGAACAAATGAATAAAGTGTTACATGTCCATTCATGTATTACTTAGCACTAAGAAGAGGATAGAGTTCTGATGCATGGCATAGATCCACCCAGAAAACATAAGGGAAAGAAGCCAGGGCCCTGTGTTATCTGATACCCTTCCAGCTATGTCCAGTTTTGTGACATTGAGATGCCACGTTCTCATCTACCAAGTTCACACTTGAAAACCAAGCCATTGGGTTACAAAAACCACTGCACAATGTTTTAAGTCAGCTTACAATTTCATATCAAGCCACATTCATAGCTATATTTGGCTTCACGCAGGTTATGAGCCACAGGCTAGATACCCATGGAGATGTAATCAGATTAGTTTTGGTTAGGAACTGCATAAAAGAAAATATGAAGTAACAGATACAGCTTTGTGCAGAAAAAGTAAAACTAGGTAGTAGTAATGGCTTCCAAACTGTACAAATAAATTAAAAACTGCTGACTTATACACATTGAAAAGGTGAGCTCTACATATGATGACATTTCAGAAAGCAATTATTTTCTTTATTAATTTGTCTTTGAAAATTTCATACATGAATATAACACATTCTCTCTCTCACCAGGTCTCCACCTCACTTTCATGTCTTTTTGTTTTGATTTTGCTTTTAAAAGGAAGCTATTTTATTTCAAATAGCATATTTAGGGGCTGGTTATTAAAGATCTGATAAAAGAACAGAACACTTCAAGTTCTCAAGACATCAATCCACTTTCTTGACTCTCTAATACTTGACCAGAGTACATAGGCTATTTTAGTGTGAACCATATTATCTCTATTCCAGAATCCCTGGTTGACTATAGTGTTTTCACATTCCTTCAACACGTTTAAATATTTATAAAATATATAAAAAGAAAACATTATAAATGAAAATCCAGATATAGAATGCAATCTAGAAAAATTTCTTGTTGCCATATAGCACTGAAGTGTATGGGGGACCACTTCCTTTTCTACACTGTCCTCAGAGTTCAAAATGCAGTTATGGAAACCCCAGAAGCCATGCTCATCACATCAAGCCTGCTTCAGATGCAGAGAGGCAGGCAGTGCTGCACAGTGCAATATGGTTACGGAGTATAATCTAGAGAAAACTTTGGAACTGCAGAATTCCTACGTTGGCATGATGTGAAGGTTGCCCACGAGGAAATGTCTCAGAGTAAAACTATTTCCAGGTGCCTTCGGCCAGAAGCTGGACAAAATAATCTAAGTAGGACATAATGTCTAGCCATGGTATTTGGGGACCAAAGTATACCTAAATAGTTTTTACATATGCCAGGAAACTTAAACCTTAATTGGAGAACAGTAATTAAAAGGAAGAAGGATAAAAATAGGTTTTCTACTAAGCATTAACATAAAACAAGACATTAAATAATACTTTCGACCTGATTAAATAAAATCAAGAAGCAGAAGTGTGACCAGACACCATGAACAAGAAAAATAAATCATATGTTAAAATTTTGCATGATTGTACTTCACGCATTAACTCAGTAGTTGTTTTTATATCTGTGTAGCACTGACAACACAGCAATAAAAACAAACAAGCAATAAGAAGACACTTCTGTCGTCCCAGTAATCCTCTGACTACTGTAAAGGAAATAATAAAATTCAATTAGGGAACATAAAACACTTGAAAAACAGCTGATCCAGGAGTCCTGAGAGCTGAAACACAGATTCATGCCTACCAATGACTAAGCAAAAGATATTGGATACATCAACTTAATCTTATGTCTTGAAAATTAAGCATGAGATCACCTATCTTGTGAATCTCATCACTTAAGTATAGGGATCACAAAGAAAATATGCAATATGCCTTGAAAACTATCAAAACCCCTGTAGCCTCAGTCTGGTGATGTTACTAGAGTGTTTGAAAATAAAAGTTTCTTGTAGGACTGGAGAGATGGCTCAGTGCTTAAGAACACTGGTTGCTCCTACAGAGGACCTGGGTTTGGTTCCCAGCAACTACATGGCAGCTAACAACCATCTGGAATTCCAGTTCCATGGGGCTCCGAAGCCCTCTTCTGATGTCTGTGGGCATTGCACTACATGGGTGTTCTTCTATGCATGTAGGCAATACACTCATACACATAAAATAAAAGTTATAATAAGTGATTTCAGCTAATGCTGACAGTGTACCAGGAGTTACCTAACCAGTAGCAGGTAGTCAAATACACTAGCAACACAAGCCAGCATATTTCCAAAGGCTCCAGCCTCTCTCTATGTAATCAGTGTAATTTCACCTAAATTGCATCTACAAGTCAAATTAAATTCATGTTCAAGTAATTTCCAGCCAGAGGGAGAAAAAATGAGTCAAACAGACTTCTATCAAGCTTTCAAACTGAGCAGCAATCGCCCTGTGCTTCTTCACTCTTCGGGGCATGTGCTTATCAACCTTATTTGAATCTTAACAAACGACAGAACTTTCAAACCACAGATAAACCCACTTGAAAGAAGAAAATAACCATTGTGTTAATTGTGACCACATTAACTGGACTGTTTTTATTTAAATTACTTCTGATAGAAAACACTGCCCTTGAAAGTAATGAAGTGCTTAAGACACAAGCAAAATATAAAATCTCAAAATTAAATACCTGAGGAAAATAAATTCAACTTGACTAACTACTTCACAATATTGTTGTCAAGTAATGAACATGTCTCCACCTGAATCTCTGGTGAGCACTAAGCCTAAGAAATAGTTAGCATCTATAGCTCTATGAAATAATGAAATCCAAGCAGTCTGTCTTTTTTAAGCTGGAGAAACAAAATAATCCTGCTTTTTCTCAAGCATGGGCAAATCTACTATGATAGCTAAAAGCTAAAATCTTAATCTTTCCCTTCCTGGCTCAGAATGAAAATAAACACTCTGTCCCAGACCTAAGATGTGATATCCCCTGTGGGTTTTCACGAATGAGAGGAAAAGTGATATTCATGGATGGATGAGTTTTGTATAATTTCCTATGACATAACCTTGTTTTGGAAGTAGAAAAATAAGCAGACCAACTGCAGGAAAGGCCTTAATTTTTTTATTTTAATTTTATTTTTATGTGTATGAGGGTTATGCCTGCATTGCACTCGTATCTTACAATGCCCACAGAGGTCAAAAGAGGTTGTCAGATCCCCTGGAACTGGAGCTACAGACAGTTGTTAGTTGCCATGTGGGTGCTGGGATTCAAACCCAGGTCTTCTGCAAGAGCAGCCGGTGCTCTTAACCACTGAGCCATCTCTCCAGCCCAGGCCTTAATAAATTTTTAGCAGCTTGTGTTGGACCAGAATTTCTTTGTACACAAAGACACCCTACAAAGCCTTCTGGAAGATGAGTAACTATGCAAGTCTCTTGGCTGTCTAGGGATAGAGCCATGTCTATGTGATACTGCCATACTCTGTCTTTGTGCTCTGGTCCAGCTCTTTTTCTGGAAAAACTAACAAATCCTTCCCTTTGTGCTCATACAGAAAGAGTTTGGCATCTGCCTTATCCCTTAAGGTGTGATTATTTTTTTCAGTCTCACAGCTAATTAGAGAAGGAAGAAGATACAAAGGGCACACCACACAACACCTCAAAAGCATGTGGGGATCTAGTTATCAGTCAGTCACTCATCACTCTGTTGTGGAAGGGGGATCCTGTTAGCAAAGTCCCAACGAGATAAGCACTGTCACTAACTTTGTCATCTCAAAATAAGTAACATCGAAACAAGGCTCGCCCGGGAGTAAGCACCAGAAACGATAGCTCAGAGATGTGGAGCAGCCTTGCTACATTTTCAGTTCCTGCTCGGTCTCTCAGTCTTGCCTGCAGATGTGCTACCATTGCAGGTTTAAGGACTGGCCCTCAGCTGGGCTTTCTGGATGACTGGCTCCCCCCTACATGATCCACGAGTGGAAATTCTAATGTACGTTCAGTGCATCAGTTGTCACAGACATGAAGGCACTTGCGTTCTGCAACTTCGGACTTACTTGCATTCCCGTGCCTCTGATCCCCAGAGAGAGAAGCATTGGGAGTCCCGGCTGGAGAAGGTTGGTGGAGGGATACGGAGGACACCCTTGTGCTCTCATTATAAGCCTTATTTATAAGAACACCTGGTCCTTGGACTTCACCATCCATCACTAGAGGCTCACTACCATTTGATTTGAAATAGGCCTTTTTTAATGTTCCTGAAAGACAAAATAAAAGATATTTTTAACAGTACTGGAAATATTTATTCTTAAAAAAAAAAAAAGTAAATATCAAGAAATGCCAGGACTCCTTTCCCATGTATCATCCTACCCAGGCAACCACGAAGATCAAGATAGCAGCTGCCTTTTCCGTAAGGGCAGAGGGCAGCAGTAGAGGTTTTCTTCTATCATGAGTCACACAGCCTGTAAGAAAACCATTGTCTTCTTGACAACTTCAGGCTTGGAGACTGAGTCTTGATTTCCTGGTACCAAAAGAATATAGGACAATTCTACCCCAGTTGAGTCACCAGGAATCAAACTGGTGAGTCCAGGAGTGTTTCTTTCTCTGTTTCTCCATTTTGCCTATTGTCACAAACTCTTGAACCCAGGACACACTCTATATAGCTCTCAGCTGTCTCTGCCACCCAGACAGTAAAGCCTGCTTACTTTCAACTTCATATTTCCCCAGAGTTTGAATTAAATTTCAGGATAAACAAAAATAACTGCATTCCGGTATTTACTACAACATATAGAATCCAAGATGAATCAAATTCTAATTACAGATCAAAATAAACAGAGAAGTTAAATTACGTTCATCTTGAACCTAGAAGCGAAACAGCACGAAATAAGGAAGCATGAATAAACAAAGATTGTTTACTGATCACATTCATAAAATAGAGAACCAAATGGAAGATTATTGAGAATCATTTAGTTTGTGTTTAGGCAGAAACTTTTAAAACTTTGAAAAAGATTGTATATTTTAACTCCATCAAAATAGACTGTGCCTGAAAAATATAGCACTGTAGTTGAGCATATCAACAAAAGCAAATGAAAATAATACTGAGCTATCCTTTGAAATACACCAGTGAATCCTTTAATTTGGCTCTCTCGCTTTTCTAAATATTCCCATGAATCATTAAACACAAAAGAAATAAAAATACAATATCAGTCTATGGAAAAAATTTCTCTACATGTGTCTGACACTTGGAAAACATTAACTCCAAATCAAAATAGAAAAGCAGCTGTTTTCTGGCTAGCTAAGGTCAGCAGTTTCATCTGCCAAAGGATTCTAAATAAAACACTGGAGTGTAAAAGCAAAGGCGCATGACACAGGTAACTCTCCTCAACCGGCTGTGTGATTGTGAAGTGGAAGGCGCACTTGTGAGGGAGAAGGAATCGTTCCACTGTTTTCCATTTCCAAATGATTCAGAATTTATCGTAGATCAAAATAAATGTATATGAGGCTTGATTATTGCATAACATGCATTGCATTCATGCAAAAGTTAGCTAAATAATTGCATACAATTTCATTTTTTTGTTAGTTCCCTTTCTTGCTAATTTTTGCATAGATTTCTCACATAATATATTCTGCTAATGTAGCTCTAATTAGTAAGATCCATTAAGTTGATTTCTTATCATGCTAACCCAAGAGTCAGCTACTTGCTCTGTTTAGCAAATGCCAATTCCTTACGTTAATACCCATGACTAACTCTACCAAGATGAGATCCTTATCATAGGAAATGTTGCAACAACTGTTCTAAATGGTTTTGTAATAATTAGTCTTATTAATGATTTTGTCCATATATTTTCTGTTCTATTTTATGAGTGTTTTGCCTGCATGTATGCAAGTGCAACCATGTATACAATGCCCATGGAGGCCAGAAGAGGGCACCATAACACCCTTAACCTGAGATTAAAGATAGTTGTTAGCTGCCATATGGGTGCTGGGAACTGAACCCAGATCCTCCATAAGAACAGCAGAGTCATCTCTTCTAGCCACTCTTGCCTGTATTTTTAACCTAACCACAGTGGTGAAAGTGTTACCAACATATTCTTCTTACCCAAAGAAGTCCTTCAAAATACTGCTGGGTTTTTGTTGTTTTTTTTTTTTTAGAAAATACTGGTTTGGAAAACAAGTTTCTTGAACAGGTAGTTTCTTTACTCTTAAACTCTATGTGTCAAAGCAATTTGGCAGAATATAGAAAAGGATAATATTTGATAGTTGATAAAGTTAATGTTCCTAAATGATATTTAGGAGGGATTTCAAAGGAAGGGAACAGAGAGAGGAGAAAGAAAAAAGGAGAGAGAAGATGGGGGAGAGAGAGAGACTTAATATAGGAGTTTTTAAGGTTTATTTATTTTTATTTTATGTCTGAGAGCATTTGCCAGCATGTGTATATATGCACATGGTGCCAGTGGAGGCCAGAAGAGAGCATCAGATCCCCTGGATCTGGATGTTGCTGGAGTTACACATGATTGTGAGCCACCATGTGGGAGCCAAACCCAGGTTGTCTACAAGAGCAGCAAGTGTTTTAACCACTGAGCCATCTCCAGCCCCAAGGATTCATTCTTAAAAGTCTGAACTCATTGGGAAATTTAGTTTCAAGCATCTCTGGAACCACCAACTTCTATGATAGCTCGTCATTTACTAAGCATTTCTGCAAAAATGAGAACTCAACAACGTTAAATGTTGTCAACCAGTACCATGATGCTCCATGTAAACATGCTGAGCACTAGGAGCCCAGAGCAGAGGTGCTGCCAGTACAGTTCCTTCAGACTGGTCGCATGAGTTTAAAATCCCCTTTCTACTGCTTTCTAGCTTTAGTTGAACAAACTCTCAACTGCCATGAAATAAAGGAAATAAAAGCACTTTCCTTCCAGGCTGGCTGTTGAGCTTATATTAGCTGATGCAAATACATAAACACTTGCAACAGCTCTTAGCTCACAGTAATCTTGCAATAGCTGTTGCTCATTACTGCAAAATAGAATGTTAATATCAGAAAATTTTTCATCCTTGGGGCTACTAAGGTAATTTTAAATAAATGTCACAATCCAATTCTTAGGCAAGTTAACCCTCACAAACTTCTTCTTCCTCACAAAATACCAATTTTCTGTTACTATAAAGTGTATCCCAGCATCACAAAATGGCTAAATTTCAAATGTGAATCATTTAACCCACTTTTGGAATGAGAAACTTGTGGCCCTTTAGGCTGTTATTAGCGGAGGGTCAATTCCATCAAGGATATACGGCTGAGTAGTTTCTGTGCTCCAAAATAAAAACACTTTAATGAGGTCTAAGAAATAATCTATAGTTTTAATAATAGTTCAATGTTAACAATCCTTTATAATGGATAAGAGCACTATGGTTGGCAACATAATACTTCCACAGAAATATGTATGTCCTAGTTCCCAGAACCCATAACTCTATTGTTTTATGTAACTTATATGACAAAAGAAACATTACAGATGCAATTAAATTAAGGATCCTAACATAGAGAATTATTCTAGACTATTCAACAGATTCTAATGTAATCGTGAGGGTCCTGAGAGGCAGATAAGGATGTGTGAAGTCATAAAATGCAAGAAACACTCAACAGGACATTATGTGCTTTGAAGATAAAATGGCATTACAAGACAAGGAAGGAATATAGGAAATCTACAGAAATTAGGGTAAGTAATGAAATGGATTACTCACCTAGAGTCTCTAGTGGGATTTTTGCCCAGTGATATCTATTTTGGACTTCTGACCTTCATAACTCTGAGATAACAGAGGTGTGCTTGAAGCTACCAAGTATGTGATAATTTGTTACAGCAGCAGTAAGAAACTAATACATGCTGCTAAATGTCTTCACTATAAGTATCAACTGAGTTGACCTTCCAACAATCCTATGAAATGAGTAATAGCATTCAGCACTCCTCAGAGAGTTAGAGAGAAGTACTGGAAGTTTGTGAGGGTTAACTTGCCTAAAAATTGGGTTGTAACATGACAGGTGGACATGTACATAATCCATTCTCCTCGCTCTGAACAAAGTATAGTTTTCTTAAGTCAGTCATTATATGCTTTCAGAATTTGTCTCCTTATTATGTGATTTTCTTTATATCTTTAGCTATGTGTAACACATTTACTTTGCATTTTCTACATACCAGGAACTGCATACTTTCTGCTAAGAACATATGATTTTGTAACAGGTCTTACCATCAACATGTTTATAGATTAGTTAAGTGAAGCAAGCATGTAATCTAAAAAACAGAAACCGTGTGCTTTGAGAATGATATGCAGGACAATTTTCTGGCAAAAAAATAAAGAAGCAGTGCCATTTCATATGAGAAAGTCAGGAGAGTTTTCTTAGGAGAGAGTGTCCTTGCAAATCTTCAAGGAGGATTACAGATTTTCTATGTTAAAACAAAGTATTTGTGGAGGAAATGGGGGTGGGGACATAAGAGGGAATAAAGCATTTTCTAAATAGAACGAAAGTCAAAAGGAATAGAAAACCCATGCAGGAAGTCATTCAACAAAGGTAGTACACAGGGAACCAGGCAACAGACTGGCGAGGCAGTGGAGGCCAGAAGGATAGGTCAGGTCAAAGGTTTAGAATATACCATGTTTGATGACAAGCTTTTGAAGGGTCTTATGAGAATGATCACTGTTGTAGTGAGGAGATGTTTGAAGGGGTCAAGTACAGAGCAGAATCTTAGGTAGGGCCTTGAAACAAGTCCAACCACAAGCAAACCTAGCAAGTATGAGTCTAGGCAGAGATATTTAATTGCTAATACAAGAGCCTCCAGACCTTTTGCACAGTAACCACAAAGTTCAAGATGGGGGCTGCTTCATCAGTTCAGAAAGAAAAACCTGAATGAGCACAGTCCCCAACATCCCCATAATAGCCCACTACTAACAATCCCACAAAACGTATGTAACATGAGTGAGAAATTGGCCTGTGTTTTTTTTTTAAATCACTAAGATTTGGAGATTTCATGTTGTTATTGTTATACAGCAGAGTCTAACCAATCCTGACTGATTAAAAAATAGAAAATGCAAAATCAACTAGTAGTTGCTTTTTTGTTGTTGTTAACTATTATGCAAAACTTGCCTGTAAAATACCTGTGCAGTATTCAAGGGGAAAAGATCTAAGCTGAAGCAAGGTAAAGAGTTCCTGCAGGATGCCTTGCCAGACTCCCCACAAAGTAGCCCCTCCACTTCATTCCCAGAGCACAGGCTC